TTATGTATAGCCTGGGGGAGCGGGAGCATGGGAGGATAGGTGTAGGGTTGAAATGCATGCCAATTGCCAAAAAAATTGTCAAAAAAATGTAAATTCTTTTTGTTTGTTTAAATAAATATCAAAGTGTGGCAAGTGTTTCTACATCCATTTTTCAAAGGTTTGTAAAAATATAGTCTTTAGATCTGTCGCTTTAGTCACACAAAAAGTTTTGGGTTAATTTAGACTTTTTACCGCCCTGTAACCCTAATTTTATGAATGAAAAAAGGTTCTTTAAATTTCTTTTAATTAAAAGTAACAACATTTTACAGTGATAGTGTAAAAATGAGAGTGCTATGACAAAATCCTAGAGGGGGGCAGGCGCGCAACTAGGGGGGGGGGCCAAGGGGGGGGCCAAAAAAATTTTCGCGCTCCGCGCGAAATATTTCCCCCTAGCCCCCCTCTAAAGAAATGTCTAGTTGCGCGCCTGGAGGGGGGGGGCGCCTATTTAGGGGTAAGTTTTGGGCTCAGAAGTATAATATCCTATAAACATAGTGTGTACATAGATTACTGTACGGCATAGAGATGTTTACAAATACAAGACATTGATATTTTTAAAAAAAAACTGTCATGTGCAGACATTCTGGGCTGAAAATGTTTTTTCTTTCACTTCATATTATACAGATAAATTTACATTAACACATACAATGCATTATATATCATAATATCTCAAAATCTAACAGTATTTTCATTAATTTCTTTCTTACTCAAGTCGGTATTTATTACCTAGTAAAATAACTCTGGTTTTAACCTTTCCTATTCCTGGCTATTAACAATGTTGCACTGAACGTCGCCATTTTTAATTGTCTTAAAAGAAACTGAGTTTTTGCCACAAAAACAAATTGTCTCTAATTTCTTTATCTTTATTGCATGATAAACCTTTGATATTTCAACTTACATTATTTGATTTAACAGAATAAAAAGCTTGAAATATGATAGGTTTCTTATGTTGGGCTTGCAAAGATATAAAGATTAGAAAATCAGAGTTTGTGGCAAAAATTCAGTTCCTTAGTGCGGATGTTTCCTTCTTCTAATAAATGCTCTTTCAAAAATAAAAAAGTTGAAACTTTTTTCAGGCAAAAGTTCAACTGTCCATAAACCTTCTTTGGGGACACCAAGTTCATTTCCTTGAATCATTAAATTAAAGTAGAAATCTACGAAACCTGGAAAAAAGTAGAAATCTATGAAACCTGGAAGAAAATCCTGAGATTTTTAATTAATCTTGCCACACTGAAATCAGCATCAGACACCATTTTTTACTTGGATTTTTTTAAACCCTAAACAGGCTGGGCGGAGAGGGGGGGGGGTGGGATTGACACATTTTACTGTGAATTTTTTACTTTCAATGAATAAAAGTTTAAAAGATTTTTGTTATTTTTTTTTTAATGCATAGGGTAGGGTACAGGGTGATAAAAAGTCCAGTCCGTGTAAAGAAAAATCTAAAATAGCCCATACCTTTTTTACTAAAGCTACAGATCTAAAAACTATACTTTTCAAAAGCCCTTGAAAAAATAATGTAGAAATATTTGTCACATCTTGATATTTGTTTAAAACAAAATTTTTTTTTTTTACATTTCTTTACCCTTTTCCTAACAATTTTCTCCTTATAGACGCAACAGATAGAAGTAAGATTAGTAGCGATCAAAAGCGCTTTTTTAACGCATTAAGCCTTTACCCCCTTTCATTTTTCTCGAACACTCCCTTTAATACAATTATGACAGCTTTATAACAAATGAATCCTAGTATTTGTAGCATTGTATGCATTAAATAAAAGCAAAGTGGTTTCTTTTATAAGATAGTATTAATATATGAAAGGATGAAAGGATGAAAGGAGAAGAGTATATGGAAAGTATGTAAGTTTAAATATATCTCTAAGTACTACAGGATGAAAGGATGAAAGGATGAAAGGAGAAGAATATATAGAAAGTATAAATATATCTCTAAGTACTTTAGGATGAAAGGATGAAAGGATGAAAGGAGATGAGTATAGGAAAGTATCTAAGTATAAATATATCTCTAAGTACTTCAGGATGCAAGGATGAAAGGATGAAAGGATGAAAGGATGTAAGGATGAAAGGATGAAAGAATGAAAGAATGAAAGGAGAAGAGTATATGGAAAGTATCTAAGTATGAATATATCTCTAAGTACTACAGGATGAAAGGATGAAAGGATGAAAGAATGAAAGAATGAAAGGAGATGAGTATTGGAAAGTGTCTATGTATAAACATGTCTCTAGGTACTACAGGATTAAAGGATGAAAGGATGAAAGGAAAAGAATATATAGAAAGTATAAATATATCTCTAAGTACTTCAGGATGAAAGGATAAAAGGATGAAAGGATGAAAGGAGAAGAGTATATGGAAAGTATCTAAGTATGAATATATCTCTAGGTACTACAGGAATAAAGGATGAAAGGATGAAAGGATGAAAGGAGAAGAGATATGGAAAGTATCTAAGTATGAATATATCTCGAGGTACTACTGGAATAAAGAATGAAAGGATGAAAGGAGAAGAGTATATGGAAAGTATCTAAGTATGAATATATCTCTCAGTACTACAGGATTAAAGGATGAAAGGATGAAAGGAGAAGAGTATATGGAAAGTATCTAAGAATGAATATATCTCTAGGTACTACAGGATTAAAGGATGAAAGGATGAAAGGATGAAAGGATGAAAGGATGAAAGGAGGGCATATATGGAAAGTAGCTAAGTATGAATATATTTCTAAGTACTACGGGATTAAAGGATGAAAGGATGAAAGGAAGAAAGGATCAAAGGAGAAAATCATATGGAAACTATAATCCAAATTCTCCATTATTCAAATTTAAGTTTTTTTCTCTTTATGAGGTTTTATCCTTTAAGTGTGGACGGAATCCATTAGGTTTAGAAATTTTACATTATCATATTTCAAGTAAATCTGTCTGCTCCTTTTCAAGTGAACGAGAAGAAATAAATTCTGTGTATTGTATCTAAAAGCTATAAAAGTTTAAATATAAAAAAGTTTAAAGCTGTGAAAGGTTTAATTGTATAAATTAGGTATAAACCGCGTGTTCAACCTTTAAAAAGTTAAAAACATCATGATTCATGATGAGGTGAAAGCCGTAAAAGGTTTAATTAAATATAATATAATTGAACCTTTAAAAAGTTTAAACCTGTTAAAGGGTTGGATCTAATAACCTTTGAACCTCTAAAAATTGTGTTCAAAGGTTTATAAGGCACTACGACATCTGCTCTATTTCCATTTGCTCTATGGCCATTTGCTCTATCAAGTCATTTGCTCTATACGTCATTTGCTCTATATTCAATCTGCTCTATACCTCATTTGCTCTATGACTAAACACGTCATTTGCTCTATAACCTAAAAATACACTATAAAATAGCTTTTAGTGGAATTCCTGAGCATAATTTGACTATAAAATGCGAGAATTTATTTTAGAAAATTCGCAAATTGCAGTTTTAATCATCTTCAAAGTTCAGCATGACAGAGAGATTGCTTAGTAATAAGAGGGGTAAAAAAACCTAATATGTGATGAAAACTATATTTATTCTACTCTAAACAAACAGGGTGTCTATCAGTACTGGAGATGTCTTGAATATAGAAGGCAGAATTGTTAATGTTAATATTTAACTTGGTCTCACAATATGCACACATACCAGACAAACAAAACTATCTCCAGGAAGTTGGCGGAATAATGAAACTGTAGGAAGAATTGTAAAATGTAAAATTGTAAAAATATAATTTTAATATGATTAGATATTTGTAAAATATGTTTATAGAGCAAATGACGTGTTTACTCATAGAGCAGATGTTGAGTAGAGCAATTGGACCATCACAGTCATAAAGATGTTTATAGAGCAAATGACGTGTTATGTCATAGATCAATTGACGTATAGAACAGATGACATATAGAGCAAACGTCGTTATCTATGAGCTATAGAGCAAATGGTTAATAGAGCAAATGGAACTAAAGCAAATGGCCATAGAGCAAATGGAAATAGAGCAGATGTCGTAGCGCCGGTTTATAAGGTTTAAGTGTCCAAGGTTTAACCCTTTAACTAAATTTATAGAAGGTCTGAACCCATAGGTCTAAACGTTTAAAAGGTCTAAACCTATAAAAGGTTCAAACTTATAAAAGATTTAAAGCGGCAAAAAAGTTTAGATCTAAAAAAGGGTAAAAACGATAGTTTTCAATATATATTAACTTATCCAAAAAACTTTGGTTACTGAACAGTGTTCACATATATATATACATATACATATATAATCCTGGTTTGATATATCAATTATATTATTCATATTTACGTAAAAAAATTGTATAAAAAATTGGAGAGTATCATGCAAGGCAATAATTACCATATTGGTATTAATATCATTATCCATAATTATAAGAAATTACAGAGATGGTGATTACGTAATTATTCTTGGAATGATTGGAGATATCTTAATTTATCCCTTTCAGTAGGTTGTTATAGCCTATAAACAGCTAATGATTAACTTGTGACTGAATTTTTCTAAAAAATTGCCCTGAATTCGGTAATTTTGAAATATAAATCTCAGGATCAACTATTGATTCTCAAATTGAATTGAATTGGATATCGAGATCATGCTTATAAGATTAACTATAGTCATACAAAGTTCCGACCTTTCATGAACTTAGTTTTTTGCTGGTTTTGTATCCAATAAACTTCAACAAGGATGAATTGGTCGGGTCAAATAATTCTATAGTCGGTATCATGCATCCAGACTCATTCTTGAAACAGTTACCTCACCCCCCCCCCCCCCCCCAGGTGTGCTTAAGTGTTTTAACATTTCAACATTTCGACACAATTTAGACATCTAAACTAATTATTTGACACTTGCTGATATCAATTAATGCATTGTTTATGCCTATGATCAATATTATGTTGAAATGTTAAAACTTTAGAGGGAATTGAACTTGAAAAATCTGCGAAATTTTGAGTTTCATGGATTAGAGAGAAAAAAATTAAAAATCCCAGAAATATAAATGCTTACCAAGCAGATAAGTATGTTTGCAAAGCTAGGCTTCAGGTCAATATCTTGACTGGTTAGAACCAGAATGGAGATTATATTTCCTAAAAAAAAAATATTTCAGAATCGTGATTTAAGCAGGTTTTCTCTTCAATCAGTTGAATTAAGCCTAATAATATGTGGATTATTATTGACATTTATTAAACGACTATTTCTATGACCAAAGTAAATTATTAACAATTAGCTTAAAGGTCAAAATATTAAATTCAAATTCCTCAATCTGAATTTAACATTTTTGAATAAAAAAATGCAAAAAATATGAAATAAGGAATAATTTCTGACCCCTGTAGATAATAGATGATGAAAAAAAGATTTCTGTGAAGATCTTCATATTTCCGAGCAGAGATATGAGTCTTTCTAATTATGTACACATCAGCTAAAAACAACATCATCCTTACACCCTACTAATTACATTTTTCTACTCAGACTAATTTTATTTTTACCCAGTTGGACCCCGACGGACTTGTTATTGTAAATGTAATTATCTAATTATAAGACATGACGAAAAAGTGTCTGCTTTAATGGAACTGTAGAGAGTAGACCAAACTTCTGTTGACAAATCCTGCATGTACGATGCACCATGGTACTCTTTAAACCTATGTTCTGGGCAAATATTAATATAATAATTTAATATCCTTGTTTTTCTTACAAAATATAGATTATTTACAATTTGGTTTTCTCTAAAATATTCATGCTGCAGAGTCAATGAAGGAAATTGTAAGAATTCAACACATTGATTTTTTTCATTGCCTCTCAGATAGAGTTTTAAAAGTGCTGGGCAGCTGTGAATCCAACAAGCCAAAAAGTTAAAACAGGTTTAGAGCACTGAGCAATCTCAACCAAACTTCGAAAAAGTACTGACCGTCAGTTCAGAGCTGAAAACTTTAGAATGAGATATCCCTAATTCCAAATGCTTAATCTGAGTATCAAATGTACACACTTTTGATTGTCTTCTTAATCCTCTTTTTTGGATACCCCTCTATAACAAACTTACGTTTGATAACAATTACAGATATGATGCTATATCGATTGGACTAATATCCGCTTGAACTAAAGTCAGCTGTTCACAAGCCGGCTTTAAGAGCATTTAAACAAATATAAATTTAATCATGTTAATATGAACTTATCAAAAAACATATTTTATCACATTAAAGGACTACAGCCAATTTGAACGTTAGTCTTAATACACATTAATCCAAAACTAACTTCATTCAATAGATCATTAGTTTAATTGATATGACACCATCCACACCAGAAATGCGCAAAATTTAAAACTGGTTTTTCAAAAGTTAAAGAGCGCATCTCTAATCTCTAAAAGTTAATCTAAAGAGTCTTTAGATTAGCAAAAAGAGAGGATTAAGCATTAATCTCGATATACACCATTTTAAAGTTTTCAGCTCAGGATATATATTTTGTTAAAAATATTTTCATCATCAGTCCTGAAACAATTAAAAGATAAACAAAAACAAAAAAAGATTCGAAACTTTATAATCTTAAAAATGGCAATTCTAAACACTAAATAAATAAAATTAGATGTATTTATCAAGGATGGTTAGAGTTGTCTAGATTTAAGTTGAAGTTGTGGAATATTTGCATTGGTTTGTGAGGGGGCTGGGTTGCTGACGGTCGACTCAGAAAGGGGGGGGGATGAAAATTTAAACCCAATCATATAAGACAGAATGAAAAACAAGAACAAAACTGAACAAAATAAAATCAACAGCGATTGAAAATATATCAACTAAAAAAAAATTAAACAAAAATAAACAAATATTTCTTTTAAAATGTTCGAATGAAGTTCGTTCAATCTTTTGCAGATAAGATGACCAGGGCTGGGGAGGGGGGGGGGGGTTAGGAGGAAAAATATTAATGATAAAGCAAATAATGTTTAATGAACCAACTCCCCTCCCTTTTTTCATTCACATTTACCTTGTCGGTAGGGCTGGGCACATTTCTTACTTTTTTCAAGCCATTAAATAATGATTAGTCACAACCATCAAATACAAGGTATCTGTTAGTTATTTAGCTAAGAATTAAGATAGTTTTATTAATTTATTTTATTAACGGTTTTCATGTACGATGGCGTTAACTAAATAAATGTACCTATGATTCCAAATGTACAAATAATGAGCAGAGCTATTCCTTCAATATAGTAGTTTAAGTCTGGTTCAAGATCCTCAAGCCAATTATCAAACTCCGTACTCTTGTTGTCCTAAAGTAATACATGCCAGTAGATTAAATCCGGTGCTAGCTCTTCAAGACAATTTTCAAACTCCATGGCCTTGTTGTCATAAACAAATTTATGCCATGTTGCAATGACCCTGCGCAGGCTGTGGAAAAGTATTTTCAAAGAACTTCATGAAGGGATGAAATGTTTTTCACTTTTCTGAAAAACGATCGTTTCGTTTTGTTAACAATGAAGATAAAACAAAAAACAAAATGATCTTTTCAAAAACGAAAGTTTTAAAAAAAACGATAGATTTTTTAAGCTAAAAACGAAGAAGTAGCTTTTTAAATTAATTTTGTCGTTTCGTTTCAGGTAGGCATATATATGCGTTCAGAATGAAGATTAGATGTAGTAAACTCCCCTATCATAAATCAATTAAAATGTATAAAAAAGAAAAGAAAATCCGGAAAAGTATAAATTTCCATTTAGTATTTTTAAAGAAAAACTTGAAAACTTTACACAATAAAATGTTGATATTTGATATTTATTGCAAAATATTTTCAAACACTTTTTTATCTTATACGATGTCACTATTTTCTGCAATCTTCATTATTCTATTGTAATATGTTTTATCCTTTTTATATTTTTCACTGTTCTTTGCAGAGTTACATTCATGTAAACCATTTTACAGTAAGTAAACTACACTTTTTACGCAAATTAGTTTTTCCAAAATATTCTTTAAAAAGTAAGTTAAAAGTTAATTGTTTAGCTTGACAGGGTTAAACAGGGGTGTGTTAAAGAGATAGGCTCAGTGTCTTAAAGGGACTGTAAAGGAAAAATGATTGGGGGTATAGGATGAAACCTGAGAATCTCAGGCGTTGAACGATACTTGTTAGACATCTATATGATGTTTCTGTCTCGAAAAATTGATATAAAACTGTGTCAAAATTCATATATATTCAATTTTGTATAAAATTTGTAGTATAAAACAGATCATATTCCATAAATACGAAACCAATCTAAAAACGACAATATCCCACAGAAACCTGAGAATCTCAGGTCTGTTCTTGTTATAATTATTTAATTTTTATTTTGTATTTTTTATAGATATAATTGATAATATTATTACGTATAGTCCGTATAGTCTGTATTACGTCACCAGTGGCAGTGCAGTATACTGGTCACATGATTTCTGTCTGTATAATAAAAGAAAGATATCGTCAACTAATAATTGCAATCCAAGATATGAACTGTTTTTTAAGAATAACTATTTATTTCCATCTTAATCATAATCATCATCATCTACTTTTATCAAAAATGGATTTAAAGGTTACCATTATTATTTGGGCATGCAACTTTACAACAAGTTGGTTAACTAAAATTAAGTTTACCGAGCTGAAAACTTTAGAATGATGGATATCAAGATTAATGTTTAAACTCCTGGTTTTACTAAACCCGAGATTATTTTAATACGCATTCGAAATCCAAGAAAGAAGTATAAAATTCAACCAATCAGCGTATAATGTTAAGATGTACTCTTTAACTTTTGAAAAACCGGTTTTTTTCTGGTGTTAATTGTGTAATATCAATTGAACTAAACATCGATTATATAAATGTAAGTTTTGGATTAATGTTTGTTAAGACTCGTTTAAAATGATGATAGTCCTAAAATGTGATAAAATATATTTTTTAATAGGTTCAATTAACATGATTAAATTTATATTTTGATTCAATCGGATATTAGTTCAATCTATATAGCATTGTATCTGTAATTGTTATCGAACGTAACTCTTATACAGCAGGGATATCCAAAAAAAAGAGAATTAAGAAAATCAAAAGTGTGTACATTGGATACTCAGATTAAGCGATCAGGATTAAGGATTTCTCATTCTAAAGTTTTCAGCTCAGAGCTGGGAACTTTAGAATGGATAACATTTAATCCCAACTACTTAATCCGAATATCCACTGTGGAAACTTTTAATTTTAGTCCTTAACCCACTCTTTTTCTCTCTCTTTGGATATCCGGACATTGTTTTCTCCAATGAGAGTGCAGGCATATAGTTCGTAAATTGTATTGACCAATGACACCCTTGAAAATATATTCTATTCCAAGAGACAAATCCGCAATTGCTAACAAATTAAGAATTTGTTGTCGGCCATTATGTAAATTAATCGGTGAAGAAAAATATTAAGTAAGATTCCTTTTTAACAAATTTTACTAATGTATTAATAAAGAAATGGGTGAGAAATTAAGTGAAGGCCCTTCCAGTCAAGAAAACAAATAAATCTGGCGTTCCTAGAATCAAACTTGTTGATCTAAATATTTAATCTTGAGACAAACATAATCTCGAGATTATGTTAGTCTCGAGATTAGCAAAAAAGAGAGGATTAAGCATTAATCCTGATATCCACCATTCTAAAGTTCCCAGCTCTGTACTTTTAAAAAACTATCTATTTCTCTTGATCGTGGACACCACATATAATAAGGATCTGATTTATCACCAACAACTTCAAGCTGATAGTTAAAACTCATGATATCTCAAACTTTAAATATATCATCTTATGTGATATTAAAGGATAAAAGAATTATAATGCTTAAAAATTAGAGATTGTGGCAGGTAATCCGTTCTGAAGGTGTATGTTATAAAAAATGTTCATGAGAGAAGATAGAGAAGATATTGTTTTGGTTCTTGAGACTTGGTCGCCCAATGAAATCCACAAAAAGTGCTAAATTTTTACCTTCAGGAATTCTAGAATCTCACATTTGTTTTTCCCGACCAACTCCGGGTAGAGAAATGTGTAGTTTAATTCCTAAATTAGAGACATTTATCAGGAAGATTCCAGAAATGATCAGGGGCAATTTATCATAAAGTTAGCAATTATTTTTCAGAGAATAAAGGCAGTTCAAGAGCATGATGAAAACTTAGCTATTGCAGGAAAAGATTTAATAGCCATATTTAATATTACATTTGATTACAATGGTCACACATCTCTAAAGAGTTGATCTTGAAATTTTTATAAAAACCAAACTTAAATTTTTCACGATTGCAATTCTGTGAAGAAAAGGGGCCTGACAGGACTTCCCCCAATTCTTGGAGAAAGGGGATTAGGTGTAATATATAATATTAACCTTCAATTGGCCTCTAGATAACTATATTAGTCTGTAACAATGCTGGGTAAAAGAGAATATTAAGGGCAATAATGAACCACTCAGAAACAGATTGATTGGACAATAAACTTTGTTAAAATATTGTTCTTAAGGTAGAAACTTTTTATATAAGTTCCTAACAGGGAGTGTTAGCCAAAAATAAGAAAGAAGGTAAATTATTTAACTTTTTTAATATTTAAAACCAATTTTAAAGATTTTCAATACAAAAACAACATTTGCATTCAATCAATGGTTCTCCTCAACTCTTTTTTTTATTTATGTAATTCATGAGTTTTTACTAAAATACATAACAAATTTAGGCTTTTCATTCATAGCATAAATATTTTTTTCTAAACTTTTAAAAACATAACATTCTAAGATTTCACAAGTTTTCATTTTTTCCTTCAAAAATGTTAAAGAAAACTTACGGCAAGCCTGTTTAAAATTCTTGTTTTTAAAGTTTACCTCCATTTTACCCAGTGGAGGTGGGTTATGGCTGACAAGACATGGTTTTCACGGTTCCCGCATTTTTCTTTTATTTTCTGAAACAAAAAAATTGAAATATTGCTAATGGCTGATGTCAAAGTCTATCACAGTCAACATGAATACTTAAATACTTTTATAGGTTCAATATGTATATTGTATCTATAGTTAGATGCAAAATGCATGTATATTCAGTGAACAGACTGCAATGTGAATAGTTAGTTTAAAAAATACCGATCAGATTAAAATGATTCAACTTTATTTTTTCACTTAGCTCTTATCAAATATTTTGTAATTGTTTTGTCTTGTTCCATCATATATTATCGTATTGTTCTTTGTGTTTGAAAATTGATACTATATAAACCAATCGGGGGTGTTTAATTTTTCCAATTTGGTTGAAAATTTTAACTAGGTCTACGAGATTGCAAAGTTGTATCGGTAAATTTGACCATCAATATGTTTTGGAAACTTGGTTTAATAAGCTAGAGCTTTAATTGTTTATTATTTGATGAATAAAGCACCACAATATTCATTTTGTAGTCTTTTTAACAAGGAACCCTCCATGCAAAGATGGGAATTTCCAATCAAGAAAGGTACCCTTGAAACTTTATTTGATAAATAATGTGGAACATGTTGACTTTTTCTAGGTTTGAAAAGTGTGAAACCCTAAATTCTTGGACGGGCGGATTTTTGGTAATGTCAATTTGGTAATGACAATTTGGTAATGACAATTTGGTAATGACAATTTGGTAATGACATTTTGGTAATGACAATTTGGTAAGGTGACAATTTGGTAACGACAATTTGGTAATGACAATTTGGTAAGCTCACAAAAGTGACAATTTGGTAATGACAAATTGGTAACTACAAAAAAATGACAATTTGGTAATGACAAATTGGTAACGTCATAAATTAGTGACGATTTGGTAATGACAATATGGTAACTACAAAAAAGTGACAATTTGTTGATAAAAGTTAGATTTAATTCAATTTAATGTTTAATAATTTGCTGTTTCTCACACTATTTAGGGTTAGGTTAGGTTTAGACAATTTCTGGGCCGAGCGCAGCGGCTAGGAGGGGCTAGAGGGCCGAGTGCTGCGGCCAATTAAATGGTTAATAATGTGCTGTCTCTCTCATTATTTTGGGTTAGGTTAGGTTAAGACAATTTACGGGCCGAGCACTGAAGCTAGGATGGGCTAGGGGGCCGAGTGCTGCGGCCTATTAAATGTTAAATAATGTGCTGTCTCTCTCAATATTTTGGGTTAGGTTAGGTTAAGACAATTTATGGGCCGAGAGCTGCGGCTATGGTGGGCTAGAGGGCCGAGCGCTGCGGTCTATTAAATGTTAAATAATGTGCTGTTTCTCACATTATTTTGGGTTAGGTTAGGTGCAGACAATTTCTGGGCCGAGCGCTGCGGCTAGGATGGGCTAGGGGCCAAGCACTGCATCCTCTTAAATGTTAAATGTTGATTATAAAAGGGACAGTTTGGTAACTACATATAAAAAATAACATTAATAACTTCCTAACATTGACATACATAAAGTCCGTTTTTGTTGTAGTATTTAAATCCTTCTGAATCTTGTAACGTTTTGCCATCCCTAGAAGGGTTGATAAATTCATGATCCAAGTCTCGTTCTTGCAGTATATGACACAAGTGCAGGTTGAAACGTGGATTTTAGAAAATATTGCGAATTTTACAAGTATTTTTGGCGCATTAATTTTGTGCAGAAATAAAAGATTCCTAGATTCAATTATCTTCAATTGAATATAAAACTAAAAATTAAACAATTTTACATAATGTCACTTTTATTTCGTTTACCAAATTGTCACTTTTATGGCGTTACCAAATTTGTATTACCAAACTATATTTAGACCTACTTCCGGTCATTGGATTTTGACCTTTCCTTAGCTCTATGGAAAGCCTTGAACAAAAGAAAGCAGATTGCACAATTTTTTCAAAGAAAATTTGTCATAGATTTTTGCAAAGATGTCTTTAAAGAAAATTTGCACTTTTTTCAGTTTTCCTTAATGTTAGTTTTTGAAAATTTTGCAAACATTTCTGCATATTAAAACTCGCCGTGGTAAGAGCGTTTAAATAATGTATGATTTTTATATTTTGCGCCTTTTTTTGTTTTTGATTTAGATCGCTTTTTAACAAATCCCAACCCTACTCTCTATCACTAGAATTATATCATTTTCTTCTCAATATATTTCGCCAAAAACTTTGGCATCATCTGGAGTTCGTCCTATAAAATAACAGATATAAGCAACAAATTACAATAAGGAAAAGGATTGAATAGTTTATGGGCGTATGCGGTGGGGGGGGGGGGGGGGGGGGG